CTAAGGAGTCTTCTGTCCATGTTCTCCGAGAAACCGATTCTGACCAAGAAAACAATTCGCAGTCAGAGCAATTTTATGAAAATCCTTCCCTAGAAATTAACCCTGTCAGAACAGGATCCTTCAATTGGCGTCAGCCCCAAAGACTTTACTATTTTAGAGCTACCCATCCTGATGTAGCCTTAGAAGAGAGACCCAATGTTATGCAAAACAACTATAATGCCAATAATATCTATGAATGGAACATAGATGGTTGTTCTGAATATAATATTCTGGCCAAATTACAACAAATGACTATGGTAGCCACTGCATACCGAACTTCTCATAACTGTTCTGACCAGCTTACTACCCATGTCTTGGTAGCAGGTTTCACAGGTCAACTTAAGGGATGGTGGGATACCCATCTTGGCGAAGAAGATAAGAACCAAATTCTCTTAAGTGTCCGAGTTGATTCAACGGGAGAACCAATTCTTAAGGATGGCCTTACCATTCCTGATTCAACCAACACCCTGATTTATACCATTATCAAAACATTCATAGGTAGTCCAGGTATCTTTAGGGAAAGATCTTCTGAGATATTTAACAACCTTAAGTGTAAAACCCTTTCTGACTTCAGATGGTATAAGGATTCCTTTCTTACCCGAATCTACGAAAAACCTGACGGAAATCTCCCATATTGGAAAGAAAAATTCCTAGACGGTCTACCTAAGTCTCTTAGGGATTTAGTTAAAGAAGAACTCCAAAATCAACATTCTGGTGATATTATTCCTTACGAACAAATCGCCTATGGCCAACTCACCAGTCTCATTCAACATGTCCCTCTCAAAATCTGTCGACATGATAAGATATTGAGACACTTAGCCAAATATAGAACACAGACTCACCGAGATCTAGGTAGTTTCTGTGAACAATTTGGTTTACCACCTTGTAGCAAAAAGCCTCACAAGAGACGAACAACCAAGGATATGGAGATTACAAAATATAGGTCTTCTGCACCCAAGTTCAGGAAGACCAAACCATTTTCTTCTAAATCCAAAACCTTTCCCAGTAAAAATAAATCAACAAACTTCCAAACTCCCAATTCTGGAAAATGTTTCAAATGCAACAAACCGGGCCATATAGCCAAATACTGCAAATTGTCTAACAAAGTTAGAAATCTTGATTTAGATGAGTCCGTTCTTAACCAGATCGAACAACTTTTATTAGAAGATAGCGACACTTCTGATGTTGCTGATGATGAACTTGAACAGCAATTTAACCAACTCGAAGATGATGACACAAATTCATCTTCATCCTAGTCTAGTCAAGAGGAACCTGCAGTTAATGTTCTCTCCAAAGAATAAGATCTTCTTCTTGAAATAATAAGCAATCTCCAAGATTCTGAGCAAAAGAAGTATTATCTCGAGCAATTCAAACGAACAATAGATAAACCTTCCACATCTTCCTCTAATGTCTTTACCAATTATCCTCATGTTGCCAATACTTACAATATTACCGATATCCTCAGTAGATTCCCTTCCCAAAAATATAAGGTAGTAACTATCCAAGATCTCCAAACAGATAGCATTCCGTAAGGAAGAAATTCAAGAAATTAAGGCCAAACAAGAATTAGATCGTCTTGTTCTCCAACAGCTCTCTACCAAACCTTAAGAGCCCAAACCAACTGAAGTTAAACCAGTTGAACAAGAAATTTTTTGCAACCACCTCTCCAGAATCTCCATAAGAAAATGGCATATGAGAGTCATCCTAATTGTCAATAAGTCCTTTACTTTGGATATCATTGCCTTATTTGATACAGGTGCAGATTTGAACTGCATACAAGAAGGGCTCATTCCAACCAAATTCTTTGAAAAAACCAAAGAAGGCCTTAGAGCTGCTAACGGCGGGAAACTAGGAATTAGCTTCAAACTCTCCAATGTTGAAGTTAGAACCTCGCTAGAAAATTCTCCATTGTCAGCCTCAACTTCTTTCCTATTAGTAAAAGACCTTACTAATCCAATTATATTAGGAACTCCGTTTATCGAAGAGCTCATACCATTTATGGTAACAAAACAAGGAATTCTAATCAAACGCATAGGAGGTAGAATCTTTCTTCCTTTCGGTAGACCTCCAATGGCAAAGTTCTTGTCTGCCATAAAAAATAAAGAAGCACAGATCAATTTTCTCGAAGAGGAAGTAGCCTTCCAAAGGTTACAACAGCACCTTCAAAATTCTTCTCTCCAATCCAAGATAAAGATTTTAGAAACCAAAATCCAGGAAGAACTTTGTGCTGATTTACCTACAGCCTTTTGGAATCGCAAGAGACACATTGTTAGGCTCCCTTACGAACCTGACTTTGATGAAAAAACAATCCCCACAAAAGCTCGTCCTATTCAGATGAATCATGAGCTAGCCATTCATTGTCAAAAAGAAATCAATGATCTTCTTGAAAAATGCATCATCTCTCCAAGAAATCTGTCACGGCCCCAGTTCACCCTCCGTGAACATGTCGTGATGGCACCTAGTTCCTACAACTAGGTAAGCCTATCGATGCGGAAATAACAACTTAACTAGCGAAATGGTTAAATAAAGCTAAACATATTTTTTTTAAAAATAATAACTGCATATAAGGTTGCTCGGCCTATACAACTCAAAAGGAATGCGGAAGTCTACAATTCAATCCCAAAACCCGAAAACTCACGGGAACCACAGGCTAACAGAAACATAGTACGATGCTCTAACTCCTGAATATCTAAACAACTGAAAGAAAGGGATAAACTAAATACTAAAGCTGGAACAGAATAGAGACACCTGGTCTGCGGACGCGGCAGATATACCTCGAAGTCTCCATGTATCTCCTTGCCTCAAGGATAGTGCGCCTGAGAAGAGGTACCTGGATCTGCACATGAAAAACATGCGCAGGAAGGGCATGAGTACACAACAGCGGTACTCAATAAGTGCCAAGCCTAACCTCGGTTGGGTAGTGACGAGGAAGGTCAGGGCCCTACTGAGGTAAAATATAATAATAATCAACAGTATGAAAATCTGACAGAAGTAATAAGTACAGCAGTGAGATAAGACAGGTCAACGAGGCAATAACAACTACACAAAGAACAAAATAAACACAGAATAACTACAGCTCAACACCAAGGATAACAATGAGGGTCTCCCAGGATACCATCCTGTAGCCCTTTTCCTCAACTGTCCAGTGGATCTCCCGGGATACCGTCCCGTAGTCCAACTCATGTACCAAACCAAAGGATCTCCCGGGATACCGTCCCGTAGTCCAACCATCAATATGCAGGGGGATCTATCGGGAATCTAACCCGCAATCCCAAAGTAAAAGTGCAGGGGGATCTACCGGGAATCGAACCCTTAGTCCCAAAGTAAACAAACAAGGGGGGAGCTACCGGAATCCCACATCCGTAATCCCAACATAAATGCACAATCACAACCAGAAGGTACACGGAAATGAAGTACAAAAGACAGGCAAATAGGTAGTACTGGCCTAGCATGCTTCACGTAGTACAGTCAAGGCAACTTAAGGAATTAGGCAGGTTAAATCAACTAAACATGCTTTCCTAATCTAGCACAGGTTATAATTGCAAGTAGAATAAAGTAAATATGAAAGGAACTCAATCTCACTATCTTAAGTAAAATCAGGATTTTCAACAATTGGCTCAAGTACGCGCTCGTCACCTCGCGTACAAGGCACTAAAAATAACAAATAACAAATCCTAAGGGGAAAGGTCCCCCACACAAGGTTAGACAAGCCACTTACCTCGAACCGGCTCAATATCAACTAGAAACCACGCCCTTGCCACGAGTATCCGACTCCAAATGGCCCAAATCTATTCAATTCAATTATACATTGTAAATAACATCGCAAACAACTGGTTTTGCTATTAAATTCAAAGCTACGGCGTGAAATTAGGTGAAATGACCAAAATGCCCTTCAGGCCAACGTCTCGGAATCGAATAATTTTCACATTTTCGGAACCCTCGTACTCTCACGAGTCTAACCATATAAAAATCTCCCAAATCGGAGGTCAAATGCTCACTCAAAACTCAATGGTTTAGCCTATGAAGTTTTACCCAATTTCCTCCAATTTTGATCCCAAATTCGAATTTTAATGATGGATTTAACTACAAAATGATGAAATATAACTAGAAGGGATTAAAGGAACGTTACCCAATAGTTTTCTCTTCAAAATCCTCTGAAAATCGCCCTTACCCGAGCTCAATTTGGTTTTTCTAACTTATGAAATCAAACCCTCAAATTTTCTATATCAGAACAGGCATTTCCGCTTCTGCGGACAAGGGACCGCTTCTGCAGTCCCGCTTATGCGGAAACAAGCCGCTTCTGCGGTCTACAATTAAATGGCCAGGACCGCATCTGCGAGAAATGAGCCGCAGGTGCAGAAGCGCATCTGCGAGGGACAATCCGCTTCTGCGGAAACTAACGAAATGCTCGAGCCGCATCTGCGATGCCTGAGCCGCTTCTGCGGCTCCGCTTATGCGGGAAAAGCACCGCTTCTGCGGTTTCTGAGGGAAAGGAGCAAAGCCTCTTCTGCGGCCATTTAGCCGCCTCTGCGGCGCCGCATCTGCGATTCCCAAGCCGCAGATGCCAAAATACCAGAAGCAGCAATGGTTCAGCTGCTGCAACACTTCAAAAATTCTTTCGTTAACCACCCGAAATCATCCCGAGGCCCCCGGGAGCTCAACCAAAAGCACCATTAACACCTAATACCTCATTCAAACTTGTACCAATCCTTAAACCACCTAAAACAACGTCGGAAACTCGATTAATTCAAGGATTTGAGCCTAAGAACTTCAAATTCCATCAAAATACATTTACGATCAAAAACCCAACCAAAACACGTCCGAATGTCCTGAAATTTTGCACACACATCCCAAATGACACGACGGAGCTACTGCAACTTCCGGAATTCCATTCCGGCCCTCGGATCAAAAATTCACTATCGGACCGGAAACGTAAAAAATTCAACCTTCGGCATTTCAAAAAAGAGCTACGGACTTCAAAAATACATTTCGAACACGCTCCCAACCCCGAAATCACCTAAAGAAGCTAACGGGACCATCGGATTTCCATTTCGAGGTCGTCTTTATACTGTTTCGACTACGGAACACTTTTCCACACTTAAGCTCTAATTTAGGGACTAAGTGTCCCAAAACTCTCCGAAACTCAACACCGAACGTCCCGGCAAACCAAAATAGCAGAAATGAACTTAGGGGAAGCAGTTAATGGGGGATCGGGGCGTAAATTCTTAAGACGACCGGCCGGGTCTTCACATCCTCCTACGCTTAAACATTCGTTCATCGTCGAACGAGCATAGAGAACATACCTGAAGTAGTGAAAAGATGAGGGTACTGGCTGCGCATATCCCGCTCAGTCTCCCAAGTCGCCTCCTCAGCCGGCTGACCCCGCCACTGAACCTTCACTGAAGCAATGTTCTTCGACCTCAACTTTCTGATCTGTCTGTCCAATATAGCCACTGGCTCCTCATCATAGGATAGATCCTTGTCCAACTGGACTGAACTGAAATCTAACACGTGAGACTGATCACAGTGATACCTCCGGAGCATCGAAACATGAAATACCGGATGAACTCCGGCCAAACTGGGAGGCAAGGCAAGCTCATAGGCAACCTCCCCAACTCGCCGCAAGATCTCAAAAGGGCCAATAAACCTCGGACTCAACTTTCCTTTCTTCCCAAACCTCATGACGCCTTTCACAGGCGAAACCCGAAGCAGAACCCGCTCACCAACCATATATGAAACATCACGAACCTTCCTGTCCGCGTAACTCTTCTGTCTGGACTGAGCTGTACGGAGTCTATCCTGAATCACCTTAACCTTCTCCAATGCATCCTGAACTAACTCTGTGCCCAAAAGCCTGGCCTCACCCAGCTCAAACCAACCCACCGGGGATCTACACCTCCTACCATATAAGGCCTTATACGGCACCATCTGAATGCTGGAGTGATAACTATTGTTGTAAGCAAACTCCGCCAGTGGCAAGAAATGATCCCAAGACCCTCCAAACTTAATCACACACGCACGGAGCATATCCTCAAGAATCTGAATAGTGCGCTCGGACTGTCCGTCCGTCTGGGGGTGAAATGTTGTGCTCAACTCCACCCGAGTACCTAACTCCTGCTGCACGGCTCTCCAGAACCGCGATGTGAACTGAGTACCTCTGTCCGAAATAATAGAGACTGGAATACCGTGCAGACAGACGATCTCCCGGATATAAATCTCCGCCAACCGCTCCGATGAATAAGTGGTACACACAGGA